GGACGCTCGATTGGCTGCGGCCATATTCAGTCCTGTGCAACCTGACCTGACCTGACCTGAGATCGATTTTGATTTCGTTGTGCATTTAAGCTACTGTGCAGTGCGGTTTCGTTGTTTCTTTATTACAACAAATAATGTCTCCAGAATTCTGAAAGTTTTTTATATACCAACAAGAATGCGTCGGCAATATAGCCTTGTAGTTCTCGGCAGTGGAGGAGTAGGAAAAAGCGCTCTGACAGTGAAGTTCGTATCGGGAAAATTTGTTGAAAAATACGATCCGACTATCGAAGATTTTTATCGAAAAGATATTCTGTAAGTTTCTCATTTTGGTTTGTATTTGTTGTGTTTTGAATCAGCCCATGTTGTCTTCGTTCGATATATAGGCCTCTGGGGTTCTCATAGCAGGTTCACCTAAGCGCTGTACCAAATGTATCAACGTACCTTTTAAATGCTGCATGATTGAAATCCTAATATACCTCAAAGGTTTAAGATGACGGGCTTTTGAAAGTTTTCCATATGTTTTAAAATAATGAAAAATTTAAGAATCAGTTTCGTTCATGGGATGAGGCAATAAGCTTTTTCTGCCCAAGCGGAAGGCCCAATGGTCATGATAAATAATATCACAATATACTAGGCAATTAAATGAGTGTTTTTCAAAAGTTCGATTGGTTAAACAGTTGAGGTAATATGCCGGTAGTAGTCAGTTACCCAGTCATTGACTTGGTGGAATGCAAACTTTTAATCTAGATTACATAATCTGAAGGTTTCACTTATGAACTGTCCTGTTTTTCGCTAGTTCCTTCCAGGGCCTGGTACTAGAAGCATTGTGCTGCACTGCTGTATGAATGTCACAGGTGGATATTCTTTAGTTTTTTCTCTAATTGCATCTTATACTTATTGGATCAGGTGACAGGCTATTATAGTATGACTAATCCGTTTAAAAAGTAGTAGTTTTCCTCTAGTAACATGCTCCTATTTTACTTTACTTATTCCCTGTAATGTTTCCCGGTCTATTGAAACAAGACTAAAACTGTCCGTCGTGGATTGATGATAATAAGCCGTTCATCTTTAATTTCTACCGAGTCATTAATCTCAGAACTTATTTATGGTCAAATGAAGTCTTATGTGACCTTTGCCAATAAGATTCTAAACGACCGCGCCCATCCTTTGCATCTTGACTATTGACTCTCCCACTCGATCACTCGTTGATCTTATCGATATCTGCCCTCACGAATAAACATTTATAAAAACTCCACCCGGCTGGCATCTTGACCAACAAGGAACGAGTTGTAAATGAACAACATCAATCTTTAATTGAATGAATCAAACTTCGGGAACATTTTTTCACACAGTACTCTATCGGATCTGTCTATACTTCTATATTTTCTCCAGTGTACAATCTTTAACTGAAATGTAAGCATATCTCAGCTTTCAAAAGTCATACTAATACAAATATGATAATTATAGTGATTAATGAGTTGAAGTTTGTTGGCCCGAAGCAGAAACAGGTGTCCTATGGGTAACTGCTCTGGCATAGGATACGTAAGTGAGGTATTCATTTAAGCAGCATCGTTCGAGAAAGCAAAGTTTGAGAGAGCGCGACACCCCGCTAGTCGATTACTTTATCGTCTCACAACATGTATGTTGCTATATTCTTTACGTTTTCAAGGAATTCGATTTTACTTTCGTAGATCGAATGTTCTCGCTAGGACACAACCAAGCTACATTCGCTTATAGTCCCCGTGTCTGCGGCATTCGGGCATCAGGTGGCTCTGATTATATATTTATATTTTCACACACGTCTGAATCCAGACGGCGTGTCAAATAAATCATGGTAAAATAATATTTATAAAAAGTAAAGCGTTCCATGATGTGCATGCGAACGGTATACTACCAGGTTGCCCATGCCAAGACAGGTGAATTTTTAGGGGAATTCACAACCACAGCCTTTGGCTAGCTAAAGCCTAACCCGTAAGGCAGCGGCGCGGTGTGTGAAAACCGCAGTCCATTGGGGGCCGGTGTCTAGTTCATCGGATCATATGCACTTTGGACGGGGTCAAACGTTTAAGGTGCCCAATACACCTTGGTACCCAATCGAACCGGTGACCACTGCCACAACCGGAAAGGTGTTTCGTCCGCCTCCTCTTGATTGGTGTGGAATCAGGGTTTTTGGCCAACTCCCCTAGGGGAACTACCAGTGATCCACCAACCCGGAGGTCAGCTTTTTGTCCCTTCACTTTGGTGGGAAAACCTCCACCATCAGAAGGCAGTGATGGTAAACGGTAACCTAGGCCGTGGGACTGGGATTGGTCCTCATAGGTTAGTCGGAATAATAACTAACTTTGCGCGGAGTGCTAGATGTAAATGAAAACCAATAGGAAGAAACATTTAAGACTAAAACCAGAAGAATCTGCGGAACGGATAGGATGCAAGTTGAAAGTCAACTGTGGGTAATAAGGGACGTTTAGGAGAGCAGTTTTGAGGAATTAAAATAGATAAAGTTAGTAGAACCCCATGTGGAAATGAGTCCGCAATCGGAGGCACGAGAAACATTAATGAAGCCGTTATTTTGACCGATGATGGTGGTGGCCTGTTTGGTCGTGGGATGGTTCCATCGTCTAAATAGCGATTGAGGTTTTGCTGATGTATATGCGAGAGAGAGAGTGGAAATAAGTTTGGAACCTTGGGAACCGTCAGCATTCGCGGGGAATGACCGAAGTAGGTCCCTGTTGCCTCGAAAATGATTCGCTTGCTAAGGAAACATTGCAGCTACTACACGAGAGCCAGGTGAAATTCGAATGTGGATCATTTCAACGACAGACCTCTTTCCCAAACGCGATCAAAGGTTTCTGAAATGTTGGATGAGACCAAGTGAGTTTCTTCGTGGTTGTCGAACAGAAATTGGAGCCGAGAACCAGTAGGTAATCTTGGTCCAAACTGCTTGTTATGATCTGTATACACCGGTGACACATGATCTACCCTTGAGAAACCGTCGTCGACCTAGGTAAAAGTCGCTACTTTCGTAGCAGTTTGGCTACCGTGCTTGTCAGTCCGATCGGTCAATATTTTGATGATGGTGACCGGTCCCCACTAAAGTGGTGTTCTTCCAGTAATCGTACTTAAAATGAGTGATATTTTAACAATAAAGGATTGATGCATTCCGGACCCCAAGCTTTCAAGCGATTAACTATTTTCAAAGTTTCATCTACTTCTGACTTAAATCATCTAGAGCATATCAGTGGAGCAAGTGGAGCGTAGTCGGTTTATCGTTTCGTTGAGCCCTAAAGCCCATTGAAAATAGGATCTAAACTATCGTGCGATTTTCTCATGGTAAGGAGCTGACCATTTACACAGAGAACACTTTCTAACTTTTTGAGAGTGAACAGGTTTGGGCTTAAACAAATAATTTTCATAAGCTCCTACATCTATCCGCAGTTCCCGATTCCTTTGTATCTGTTAAAAAAGAAAACTTCGGTATTAATTAACAAGCCTTTTATTTTTCAATGATCGGACAGAGCCGCGGTTTCTTTCTCTCCATGCCAATAGGCTTGTAGTATGCCGCCAGATATTGTGTTGGCTTTAATTAAGGTTCATTGCTTTAGACCCTTAGTGGTCCCATTGGAGTTCTGCAACTCCATTTAAAACATCAATCACATCTACCTCATGAAAATGCTGCCAAATGCATGTCACGATGGCACCACAAAATCCTCAAGTTGGCAAATGCCAATCGAGCCTTCAGTTTACGTGCCGACACTGTGACGCGTCCGCCAGACGAGATGGCTACCCAGATAGCAAAATTTGTCTACTTTCTCTACAACGTCTTCAGCCAGCATTTTACACATTGAAGGTGCTACACTAGCACTCAAACTATCCAGAAAAGCTTGCAACTTACCTGGATCTTCACTTAGCATCATAAAATCGTCTGCATACTCCAAATCAACCTACCGCCTGGGAGCAAATTGTTGTCACTCACTGCACATGGGGATAGGGTTGTTTCAAAGACTAAATCTATAACAAAGTTAAATAGAAACCGAGAGAGAGCAACCCCGGCGAACACCACTTTTTGTAGTGAACTCAGTCGAAAATGTGTCGTGATCTCGAAATCGGCTTCTCTTGATATAAAGGGATTATAATACTGAAAGTAACTTCTCGAGTACATCCTTCAAAGATGGGCCGCACCAGAGTTTAGAGCGGTCGAGTGAGTCGAAAGCCGCTTTCAGATCAAGTAAGACAGTAATGGTGGGTCTGCGAAGAGTGTCTGTGTTATAAAATTTGTCCAAGGGTGAAAATGTAGTCTATATAATGCCAACCAGATCTGAAACCAGCCTGGTTCTCGCGCGTGTACCGTTCACCTGCGGTAGACAATCGATGGAGTATAACAGCAGCGAAGAGCTTAGAGACAATTTTGATTAAACTAACGCCTTTGTGCTTTTCACCGGAGAGTCTGTCACCTTTCTCGTAAATCGGTATGATGACCAATTCACTCCATTTCATTCGAACCTATTCCCTCTCCCTCACTGTTCTCAGGAGTTTCGTTAACTCCATAACCAAAGGTGAACCTCCATCCTTAAAAACCGTTCGGGCTGGAAGCCTTATACCTTCTGAGGTGACTCATTTCCCGGGTAACTTTCATTTCAGATAGATGACTGATATCGACTGGCAGTATTTGCCCAGTTGAATCAGGTGTAAGGAGGTTTTGTGTCTACGGGGGTCCAACTGAACTGTCTCAAAATGTTCCACTCATCATTCAAGATGGCGTCGCTGATAATGAATCAGTGTGCCGTCTGACTTTAATTACCTCGTTTACACCTCTACTTGAGCCCGTAATCCTGATTACACGAAAAAGATTGCGACTATTACCGATAGCCGCAGCCTTCTCCATCTCCCTTCATTTCCCTATCCAACCCTTCTCGCAGTCATTCCTCAGGCTCTTGATGAGCTGACATTAACCAAATGCAGGGAGAATCTGGCTCGTAGTAGAGCATGGGCCGTGTCGACGGGTGTTGACTAGTAAAAGTGACAGTCTTGAATTGATCCTCGCCGGTGGTAGCTGGTGGTGGTGGTCGATTTGAGTCCATCGCTATGAAGAGGTTGGCGGTTTCCATGTCACGGTGTCGTTTCTTCTCGAAGAGGTCTGTACTTGGCAGGAACAGTCGGTGGTCAGCGCAAAATTGGAGTAGGCGTCCTCCGTTATCCGTTCGATTGGCTGGGATTGCATGTCTACCACGAAGACGCCTTTCTGATTCGTTCAGGGATCCCACTCTAGCATTGGTCCCGGCAGTTCGTGCACGCTGAGTCAACTAGTGCGTGAG